ATATATATATATATATATATATATATATATACGTATAAATGCACTGTTAGATGTCTGGCTAATCTAAAGTACTTAACTGAGTAAACAGATATATCAGATTAAATCAGAAAATATAAATTTAACACAGCTAACAATAAGAAACAAAAACAAAGAATTTTTTTCTTCAGCAAAAAAACAACGTACCATTTGTTTTACTGTCTTTCTTTTTTAAACAATTTGTTGTTAATAAAAAATAGAAAATAAAGATAAAAAACAGAAAAAAAATCATGCCAAATTGAAATGCTACAACAGGATCAAGTTTTATGACAACTAAAATGACTTATGGTTAAAAAAAAAAGCCAATCAGTAATCATAGAATTTAATTAATTATAAATAATTTAAAAAAATAACTTTCTTTTTTTTTTTTATTATTGTTGGTTAAATAAAGGTAAATAATCGCGCTTTTAGCTGTAATAACTGTAAAATACTGCTACTGTTTTTTTGTTTTTTATTTAAAGATTTTTTTGTATTTTAGTGCTAACCTGTTAACAGTTAGTTTATAAAGCAATTTTGAAAATTGAAATAAGAAAATAAGCAAAAATAAAATGAAATAGAATAAAAAATTGACAGATTTTTTTTCCTGTTAACTGTGTAATTGTTAAGAAAAAAAAAAAAAGTAGAAAATTGGAAAATTATAGTTTCAAGTAAAAACAACCTGTCTTTCAGAAAGTTCCAATGATTTGGCAAGTTTTTTACGTTCCTGCGGTGACAAATATTTATGGCTGTCAAATTTTTGCTCTAAAGCATCTGTTTGTTCGTTTGTGAATCTGATTTGTCCCCCTTTTCGTTTCTGATGTGGTTTCTGAATGTACGGATATAACCAAGGTAATCTGGGATCCCAACCTAAAAAGCAATGCTATTGTTATCCACTAAATACTGTTGACTAAATCGCTGTTGCAAAACCTTTTTTTTTTCTTTCAATTTTTTGAGTGAAATAATTTATTGTTATACAAAACTTGTTTTAAAATAATAATTCAATTGTTTTCAGCTAAAAAATTTCAGTCAAAAAGAAATTAACGTTAAACAAAAAGAACTTTTTTTTTAAATTTTTTCTTTTATTGGAATAAATCTTTTAATTAAATGACAGAAGTTTTATACGAATTGAGTTTTGGCAAAAGAGAAAAAAAACGAGTAGCAGTTGGATGACACAAAATAAATTTGTTTAGTGATATTAACTGAAGACGAAAAAAGAGAGCAGAATTAATTTGGGTTTGCTTAACAGAATATATTAGCAAATACAGAAGTTGGGTTGCTGAACAGCAGATCGACTTTTGCTACAAATACGTTCACAGTAGCACTTAGCGGCCTAATCAAAGAACGTCAACTCGAAATAATATAAACAGATACTGGGCTCAACAACGACAACAACAGCAACAACAAGACCCCAACTTAGAAAGATTACTAGTGTTCTCACGATGTTTTTGCTAGATATCCGCTTATCCTTTGACTTTAAGCACTGTTTACCGCACTATTTAATTAGATTAACCGCTGTTGAACACACCATTTTTATTGTGGACCCTTATTTGGCGCATTTTCGCCTTACATATAACAGCAAAAAATTTTCTGACAATGTTCAACAACGAGAATTAATGTTAAAATCATTGTTATTCTTATTGTTATCGACGTTTATCATCATCATTATTATTATAAAAAAGTTGCAGATGAAGTAACCAAATGGTTCTTAGTTTGCCTGTTTATAATAAACAGAAATTTTTAAGTAGCAAAAGCAAATAATAGAATATAAATTTAAATCATTATCTTACGATCGTCACCGGTAATACCGTAGTTTAATAAACAAAAAAATTTTTATTGGAACAAATAGGTTAGTTAGTTTAGTTTTAAAAAATTTAAAAGTAAAGAATATCGGTAAACAAAGAAAAAAACAATTTTTTTTTCAGATAGCTTTAACCGCGACAGAGTTTTAAACAGTACTTCACCAACACAATTAGTTCAATTTGTCAATTTTCAGAGTTCGAAAATCAACCAAAAAAAAAAAAAAAAAAAAGAAATAATTTAAATTTTTTCACTCACGAAACACTTTTGATCTTATTAATCTTAATAAGAAAGTGTCTATAAAATTTTTACATTGTTTGTTACAAGACCCCAAAGTTGGTAAGAACAAATGGTTTGCCGTAGAACTGCCAGAAAAGTAGACATTTCCTAACCGTTTAAAAGCGGAATTTGACTATTTTGGACATTTGCAAACTGTTGGCTGAGTTGTTGAGTGGCCATTCCAATGTAATTCACTGCCCGGTACCATTGTGGAGAACTAAATGGACCAAGGGGTATCCGGGGTGAAGAAGTATTTGGACAATCTTCTACTGACTCTGGGCTTGTTCTGTAAAAAGATTAATGCCTATATAAGGCAAAAATATATAAATGGTGCAAAGCTAACTTTATAATTTTTTTGCTAAAGTAATAAAAAAATTTACTGCATTCAAGAGCCAAACGTTGTTCAAAAAAATTAATTTCAATTTTAGGAAAATTTTTGGTATAAATTAAAGCTGAAAAATTGTTACAAAATAAAAGAAATTAATTTATATTCTATTTCTTTCTGTTGTGCTTTTTTCCTTGTGATAAAATTGTGGAAACCGTTATCAGGACAAAAGAAAAAGGCTTAAGAAAGCTAGTTGTCAAATGTAGTGTACCAAATTTGATAAACGTGTTAAACGTAAACCTTTCTGACTCAGTAGTAGCAGGATTTTCAGCTGATTGTAATAAATTACTGATTGAAAATGACATAATAGAAGCAGATAAAGAAAGTTCTGAACAAACAGACAGACAACTTTGGCTGCAATATGCGAGTAGTATCACCGACAAACTGTTGGTGGCGGCAGTTAGCAACAACGGTTTGTCGATGGCGAATGGCTTAACTGTAATGAATATGCGATGACAGTGATGACGACGACAACGACGACGACGACGACAACAACAACAACGACAACAACAGCGATGTACTGTAGGACACCGAAAGCTTAGCTGACACTGAAGTGAAGTGAACTAAACTGAACTGAACTACACTGATTGAATAGACCGCTAAGCAATACGGGAGGAGACTGCCGCTGCTACTGCTACTGCTGGTGCTGATGCTGTTGCTGCTGCTGAGGGAGCCGCAGCTTTTGGGTGTCATAGACAAATGAAAACAAAGTATTTATTTGCTTTAACATTTCGATTTGATATTCTCTTCGTACCGATTATCCTCCTCAAAAACATCGACTCATCGCCACCATCTCATACCGTCTCCATCTCTGTCTCACCGACACATTTCTTTAATCCCTCCTCATTTCTTTTAGTGTTCTTCCCATCTTTCTTCTTATTCTCCACTTCCTTCATTTTCTCTTTATTTTTTTCGTCTATCCTCTTCTTCCTCTCTCTATACTTCCTTTCCTTTTCGTCTCTTCTTGTCATTTATCCAGCTACAGAATTGACGCTTAACAAGGATTTTGTGAGGAAGACGGCAAGAAAAAAAAGTAAGAGGCGAAGAATTACACCATTCTTAACTGAAAGCACAAATCTATCACAACTTAATTATTGACCAACTTTTACTATTAATCACTATCATCTTTACTTGAATAAGAGAAATTAGACTTTTTTTGAAATATTCATATTCTAGTATTTGTAAAACTTGTACAGTAATTGTAAATACCGATAATGTTCAAATAATGTTCATTTCTTTGAACGTAACTTATTTTCAAGTTACCTAATTCTAGCCACATTTATTTTAAATAATACCGCTTCGCTTAATTGTGCAATTTGATTTTCACTTCTTTAATGATTGGCAAAATGAAGAACGGTGATTTGGTAGATACTTTATATTTTGCCTGTCATTCTTTATGCTTTAATGTTACAGAATTTATGTACAAAAAATTTGTATTCTTACTTTGAAAGATTTTCTAAGATAAGTTTTATGTAGTAAAACAAAACTTTTGCTTGTTTCATGATCGTTCTCCAAATCTGACTGAAAACCTTCACTAAGTTTTACTAATGATATATTCTCACAAACATTTTTAAAATAAATAGACAATTTACAGGATTATTGACAGCGTAATTGTTCACTTGTAGAGTAACTCGATTTCGCAGGAAAAAAGAAAGAAAAACAGAAGAGTTTTTACTCTTGAAACCAACGAGGTTCTTCAGAACAAACTTCTTGTAAAATAAACATCGTTTTTTTTTTCTGGTACCACTAATCAAGATTACTGAATATTATCGCTTAGTAATTCCAGTTGTCATAATTGTTATTACCTGCTTGTCCACCTCAGTTACAGCTGCATGTCAAAACTTGTGCTGCAACTAACAAAAAATGATTTTTTATTTTTTGAAAATAGTTTTAACCTGTGAAAAACCTGACATCAACGGCAACACTATTGATTTGCTTTGACAGTGATATTTATGGCAGATCAGAAGTTCAGAATTAGAAACCTGTTCAACGGTTTATCAACTATTCAAAGAGCTGATGAAGAGATGTGCTAAAAAGTAGGAAAACAATATTTTGTTACTTGTACCCTACAATATTTTATTGCTTTTCTCCCTTTCCTTACTTTCAACGCTGTAAATATCATGCCAGTAAGCATGTTTTTTAAATTTAAACTTTTTTCATCCGGTAATAGAAGATGAATGTTTAAAATATAGTAGCAGCAAAAAAAAAAAAAAAATTCATTTTCAAAGAAAGAGAAAAAAGAAAGAAAATAGAACGCAATAAAAAAAAAATAGAAGAGTAATTTCATCTAGTTAATAGAATAAAGCAAAATAGAAAAAGCAGATATTTATTAGGGTGAGATGACAGTGCAAAGCAAAAAGGGTACAAAAATTGCTTTCTTTTTTTGTTTAACACCAACAATCAGTCCATTATTGTAAAATAGATCGTTCGTTTGTCACTTTTACCTCATTCAATTGTTCACACCGTACATAACGGTTATTCGTCTCAAATTTGCTCAAACAATAACCGTCGGCAGTAAGAACTGTGATTTTATTTTACCGTTGATGACGAAAAGACCGGTGAATAGGTAAATTTTCTACAAGTTTGCAATGTATTTTGTTAATTGGCGTATCACCTTACAATCAATATGCCTAAGTGTTTCCGTGTACCATTCATCTACTCAGTTGCTTACACCTAGCTGTTCGTTTCACTTACTCTACATTCATCAATTGTTGCTAACGATATGACCTGCTATTGTTGTTGGTGTTACCAATGCTGTTTGTATTAAACATTCATCGTCATATATCAAAACTATAACTGTACAGTAGAAAAGAAAAATTAAAAAATCAGAAGAAAACAAGAAAGCAGCATAAAAATACAAAGACAAAAAAAAAAAACAACTTTAAGCATCTGAAGCATTGGCGTCAAAGAACAATACTGCTATACCTAAACGCATCTGTGTATCATCATTACAGCAGACACACACTGTGACACACAGACACTCAGACACACAAACACACACTGACAACAGTAAAACCGTACATCTAAACGTTCAATAAGTTTACTAAGTCTATCAAACATTTTTCCTAATTATTCAACTATTTTTTACAGATTAAAAAGTATTTCAAGAAAAAAACAAATTTCTATTTTATTGGCTTTTATAATTGACTAATAATCAGTAGGATAAATATCAAATTATCATCAGTGACTATTAGCCATAATTTCTTCTCAAATCATCAACCACAAGTCATTCTAAGAAAAAAAAAAGACAGAAAAGGAAAAACAAAATAATTATAACAGTAAAAACAAAATTTGTTTTTTTTTTTTTTGCTTCTTATCTCTCTTTTTTTAACAACTAATTTTTTTTATTCAAAAAATGAAAAAAAGAAAAAGACATTTAAACTTTATGTTTTTTTCGCTTTTTTTTTTTTTCAATTAAGATAATATTTTTCTACGCAAATAAATAGAGAATTCAGTGATACAGTAACTGCAAATTAATGTTTTGGTATCGACAAACACCGATTGAAAGCAACAGCTGTTTAAGAGATAGAAGAGTGACTATTTTTTTTCATCTACAGTTACAGTTATCGTCAATTTTACGTAATACTTCTAAAAAGTTTTTTTGGTTCTGTATCAAAAAAAAAAAAAATTTTTAGCTCTTTTACAATTTTTTTTTGTAATTTATTCTCTCAATTTCATACTTGTTAAAAAATATGTGTGATTTTAAATGTGTAATACAACAGCTAAAAATCTGAACAAACAAGAAGATAAGCGTTTAAAGCGTCTTTTATTTTTATTTTATTCTTATTTTTTG